ATTCTGTCTACAGGAATCGGAGTCCGCAGAAGAAGACGTTTAAGAATAATTTCCATTTTTATCAATCGAACGTTAAAAATACGATGGTTTGTGTATCGTACTTCAGTTTATGAAAGTTGCGTCAGTTTATCGACTAGTCTTTGAACTGGAAAACCATAAGTTTCATTAATGCACCGTAAGTTCGAAGCAGGAGAACTAGCTTGGCTGAGGAATATCTCCTGGTCAGTGGAGTGTGAAATTTGACATCTACCATCATCACAGTATCACGAACAATTTGCATACAATCCACGATGCCTTTTGGCTCTAGATTTTTATTTATCGATTTCAGTGGGCATCCATTTTTGATCAGAACTTTTTAGTTCACCATCCATAGTATCTTCCACGAATATTTTGCTTACTGTTGAGGAGATACAACTTTAAAAATGAGTAAACTGTCAATTTCTGTAAACAGATCTATGAACCGAATTGTTATACTCTATTTGGAGCTGAATATCAAGGAAGTTGAATTCGGAGTTCAATTCCGCTTCTAGAGTGAAGTCGAAAGAGTTATGAGCCCTTCTGTGACACGTTTTCGAGGTTCCTATTCTCATCACGAATAATAAAGGTATCCTCTACTTGTATCTTAGGATTATGAAGCTCTTTTATGTTCTTGACAAAATCATGTTTTCTAGGCTTTCCGTAAGTCAGTCAGCTAAGAAAGGTCCTGGGGACTATCGCACTAAAACATCATCTATTTGTCTGCAAAGTACGTTGTTAAATCTAAAGTGTACGTCGAAAGTACACCCATGAAGAAGATCATTTGAGCAGTGACATGTGGTATTAAGTTTTACGCTGTGCGACTGGATGAAGTTACATGAAAAACGAATGACTTCTGTTAATGGAAGGGATAACATGCAGAGAAATCATCCTCTGATAGATTGACATCCACTGATTCAATCAACAAATTAGAATGTATCACGCAGGTGGTGTTTCAAAATGTCATTCTTCACTGATTCAAATATCTCAACAAGTCACTTCTAGACTGAATGACTAAGCAGTCTAGGGAGAAGAATGCCAACCAGTGTGTCACTGGTTCGAACATTGCCCCATCCACCGAGTTTTTGGCAGCCAGGTAGTATGTTAGGCGTGGTTCATTGCCTGCTGCATGAGTGTGAATTAGATTACAGAGTGTGTTTTATTCGTTCGTTCGTTCGACTTCATGGTAAGGAGAATGGTTCATGCGTGAAATCGGATGATAGGAAACGCCTTCTTTATGCACTTTGGGTAGAGATCGGAGGACCTGATAGGGGGTTTATTCGTAGAGTTAAGTGCTAATCATTGCTTTAAATATCATTTTCTTCCATTTTTGGAGAACTGAAGCTCTCTTACATCGGCAGGATCTTTCTGAACTGTCCGCTATGAAAATTGGTTTCCATCAAACGATAGCATGTTGGAATTTATCTCTATTACCCAATTAATTCAGCAGAAATATTCCAACTGTGTCGTCAGAGAGGACCACGACTGAGTTTTCATTTTTCTGCAGCTCCCTTGGCTTGATTTCAGTTTTCCTTCCATTGATGATTTGTCGACGACTGGATTTTCTACTAGCATAATCCCTACAGACATTACAAAAACAGTTGATTTCAGTCGGTCAAGATCCTTTAAATGAGACTGGAACTTGGTCTTTCTTTTGAATAGTTCGATTATGGAATCGTGCTTCTGCATAAATCTTATTTATTTTGATGTTGTTTTACAGAAATGTGGCCGAAAGTAGAAGATCTACAGGGATATAGCTGACCGGTTAAAAAAGTTTTTTTTCCTTTTAGAATAGTGTTACTTCATACGAAATTCCTTTGGATACGCGTTTTGAACATAGTAACTACTATTTATCACACTGTGTATAAGTATGTGTTCATTTAGAGATGCGTGTAGAGTATTCAGTTAATGAGTCCTAATGAAGGAAGTACATTACTTAAGTTCTACTTAAACTCCACCTTCCTACAAGGCATTTTTTAATCTTTTTCGTTCACACTTGCTACAACACCATTTTCTTTAGCCTAACGACATATGAGTTCCTGTACGGGTGCCTCAATATTGTCAGTATTTTGAAATTTGATATTAACGATGGATAGTGTTTAAGCAGTGGGATCCAGCTTCACTAGTGTTCCGTTCTATCTGGAACTCGTCAACTGGGTGCTATTCTTACTGAGACTCGAGAAACAAGACCACTCATTGGCAGGCAGGTAAATCCAGAGATGACGTGTCAAGCTGGACTCCACTACCAGCCATTTTCTATTCTGGATATGAAAAATGAAAGTGCCGGCGATATCAAGGCATCTACACATGAACCCATATATGCCAATAGTGGCAGACCAGTTTGGTCCAATCAATGATATGTGTACAAAATTCAGGTTGTGAAAGCGCAACGATATCAAGCATCATACTTTGTGTTCTACTTACTGTCCGATGTTGGGAGATGGAAATAAGCTACATGACTAATCATATGGGTGAATTTTGTCTACAAGGTCTTGCAACTATGTAAAAGATTAACCAAATGTGATGTCAGCATTAGCGGTGAATTCAAAAAATCACAAGATTCAGAAGATTATCGTTAGACAGAGAGATAATAGACTCATTTTATTTACTTTAGAAACCGTTTCGCTGAAGCAGACGTATTCATCATTTACAGGTGGGAAGTGAATAAAAAAACCAGGTGATGCATACCAATGTTATGAATGTTTTCTAATCGCAGTAGTTCTCAAAGATCATTCACAACTTCTATGTAAACAAATTTAATTTGATTTTTCCAAAACAAAACACAATGATCTGATTTGTGGTCAGTTAGAGTGGGATCTAAGAGGCACGTTTCATCTCATACGGGAATTATGAATCAGGAATGTACCTACATCCCAATCAATGATGGTGTTCCGACCGAAACTTGAAGCCACATATATGTCAGCAAGACAACCTATGTATGTGTTAGCAATATCTTGACATTGGTAATAATAACAAGAAATATCAAATAGTTTAGAAATGTAGAACTTTTGTCAGTGTTTTCAACTAGATAAAAGAAAAAAAATCTTAATTCAAAAGGTTCAGTTCGAATAGTATACTCCACAAAATGATGCAGTGTAGTAATGTGCCTATGAATAGATAGGATGTAGGCTGCATTAGCATACATCTCAGAGAGTTCTCAGCAAAATAATACTTGTGTTACTCTCAATGTTGTGATTCTAGCTTCCTCAATGAATTAGTAAGAATTCAAGTATCAAGGTAGTATTCATCATGGGCTGACATCAGTTGGAGTTCCACTGAAAACATGGGGACACCGGACAGCTGTTTCGTCGTGGTGTGAGACTCCTCAGTGGTGCTCATCCATGGCCCAGCTAGGGATCGAATCCAAGACTATCTGGCGTAGTAGCGAGTATGTTAACCATTGGGCCGCTGTGTCGCAATCCAGTAGTTCGGTTTTTCTCCTTCTATCAACTCGCTATATACCGCTACCGTCATTCGAATGGCTCTAAAAGACCAGCTATGTAACCGTTCCTAGGTGACTTGTCAAAGAAACAAAGTTTCTAGCCTAAATACTAATAACTAATAGATGATTTTAGGCGTGACTCTAAAGGTCATCCTAGCAACTAGTAAAATAACTAGTTCACTATCATGATTATATGAAGAAGTTATTTAAGTGTATTAAATGATACAACATCTAAAAAATGTTATAACAATGACGGATAAACTTACTGAGGTGGCCTTTATTGACGTTGATATGTTAATGACTGCCTCGTTGAATACGTGTAAGTAACAGATACAAGTTGTGCTCACTGCTCATTCTTCCACATCTACGAGTGTATGCCTCAACTAGACACAAGACAAGATTATACCACCTACTGTATCATCAGTTCTATTTCCTTTTGGAGTAAAGCTCATTTGTTTATACACACAATATACAGTAAATTACAACCAGGCGAAAAAGCCATTTAGTTTGAAAAATGGCTGATACACTTCACTGTCAAATAACAACTAGTATGGAGGTTTCTGGGGTCTTATCGACTTCAAGGTAGCATGTCTGTACCATAAAATAACAAAGTAGGCAATTTCAAACCAACGGATTGAGACCCAGGGAGTCGGTGGTAGCGTGGTTGACACTTTAGGTCTTAGGTTCGATCTCTTTTAGGATCGTTGGCGGGCACCACGAAAGAGTCTCATCCCAGGATGAAACAGCTGTCCAGTGCTCTCAGGTTTCAGAGGTTATTCAGCTGATGCCAAGTCGGGATGAATGCTGCATTGAAACAACAACTTTTGAATGGTAAGTTCGTGGAACAGTAGTCACCGGTTAGAATGGAAGCTTTCAAATGTGAATGCAAAACAATGTTAGCAATCAACTGTGTGAAACTTCTTCTTAAAGATGATGACAAAGTAGTTGAACTAAATGTATCCTGGCTGAATTCCGCACTTTTCTTTCTTTCGTAAGAACAGCTGGAAAGTCGACATTATTTTGTTTCAACCACGTATCCACGTAACCTTTACTTCCCACTGAAAATGGACACAAGATTGATTTCGGCAATGTTGACATGTTAGCAAAAGCTTTTCATCCTGATAGACAAAGATTAACTTCAGAATCCCTGGATATTTTAACGTCAACAAATGCTTTAAACAGAAAGGAAGGAATACATTTGTCGCCCATCTGACAGACTCTATCTCGTTAAAATCATTAAACAAGGTCGACATTTCAGATTGAACTTCTAAAAACAAACCAACAAACAATATCGACCAATTATTGTTAATGTATAAGCATGTTTTCCATACTTGCATACAATAAACAAGGAACAACATACATTTTTCATAACATTTATACACATACATACAGACACTTTGATTATTGAACTGTCTTTGATGACCAATGAGAAAGACTGGATGAATTTATGATCACTAGTTAGAAATAATCAGTGTGAACAGGAAATCAGCTAACCATTGGCGTGCCCACTGCTGACGTGTCCCATACTAGTGGGAAGAAACATCTGTCCAGTGCTCTCAGGTTTCCAATGTTCCTCCAACTGATGTCAGTCCACAATGAATACCAACTTGAAAAATCACTAAATCCCCACAAACCTCCAAATTATAGTGGTGTAAAGACAGAAATTCCTACATGTACCTTTTGACAGAATATATATTTTGTTTTTGAATTGGAATCCGTATATTCTGCTGAGGAAGCTGTGGCATACAAAGCGAAACGTCCAGAAAAATCTTTTGATTTTCTGAACACGGGATTATTTTAAAAGTTACCTATGTAGGACGTGTTTATTTACAATTCACCGATTTAAGGTCAAACTCATAATTCAACCACATGACTGTTTATTGGACTATAATTTGATTGGTTGATACTAATTACAACCAACTATAAAGGGGTGTGCAATTGAAATAACCTTGAGGGAATATAAAGTGGAAACCGAAGGGCGTGTTAATTTTTTAATCATGGATTGTGAAGATGAAGTAACGCCTCTTGTTATTATAGGCGCAGGCCTAGGTCGTACTGGAACCAATAGTTTAAAAATAGCTTTGGAATTGCTTTACAAAAAGCCATGCTATCATTTAAAAGAGATATACTTATATCGACACTCACATATCGCAAAATGGATGGAACTTGATAGAAGACTTAAAGAATCACCCGATAAAAAACTAGACAAAGCTTTATGTCACCAAATTTTCCGGGGATATATAGCTGCAGTTGATCACCCTGCATGTGTATACTATAAAGAATTGCTGGAGTTATATCCAAATGCGAAAGTAAGTCTTAAATAGGCTTTTTCATGGTATAATCCTATGCATTATCTCCTGTTTTGTACCATTTAATAACTTGCGCAATTAAAGAGTAGATGTGTATGATCATTCATTATTTAATGACCATTACTAAGTTTGCATACATCGCTTGTCTTTCATGAAATCACCAAGTTGGTAACACAGTCCTAAGAAAAAAGACAAGTCACTTGAATGGTTTTTTTTAGCGCACATCTAGTCATCGTTTGCCTCGTCAAATAAGCTTAGGTTAGAGAGAAGTTGAAGCTAACCAGACTAAAAAATGTACGAAGTCGTTGACTGTTGTTCGTAGCCCTGTAGGCAAGTGCAAACTTCTTGATTGTTGTCCGCGTGCTACTGAAGTCAGTGGTTAAAGACTCAAGATGCAGATGTTTCCACTCATCACTTTCATCTGAATTTTCACATCACTTTTCGTTGGCTGGTTTACTATCACCATTTTGAATGAATTTCCAAGATATTGATTTACTTACTTCCTATTTTTCTGTCTTCTTTCTTCGTTGCATGTTTATGTAAAGGCTGGCAACTTGGTCTGTTGTTCAGTGTTGCCAGGTTCGTGATTGTTATTAACTAACTGACACATCTTAGAATATGTATATGTATTCAGATGCAGAACTGTAGCTCATTAATGTAGGCACTAAACATTAGACCAGTGGGTCACCCTTTCGACCCATTGGTTTAAAGTTGAGTTTGGCATGCATTTTGCACTTGTCAGATGTAAGATAATGCTTCAAGAGTGGTTTTAGAATTACTCCTGATATAAAGATATGGAGTGAATTGATTGAATTCGTCGACTACTTCACCTACTCGGGGAGTTGCACCACTTGGAATGTGCTGGTTACTAACGAAATCTCAGCCTGAATACAGAAGGATCGTTTGACCTTTGCCAGCTAATAAGGTGCGCGATTATCTATCAGGGTACGAGCATACTGCACTGCAGTCCATTCTGTCCTGTTATGCGACTGTAAGATATGGCTATCAGAAGTAGATAAACTAAAGGAACTACAGTGTTTTGACTATAAGTATCTTCGTAGCATTGTTTCCCGACCGATAGCTGCTACCTTGACGTGGTGGTCGGGCTTGCATATCACAATGACCCAACGAGCTATGCTGGTGGAACGCTTGTTCCCTCGAGGTCCTACCATACCAGAAAGGTCTGTTGGGTAGTGGTTAGACGAAAAGCAGTTACCGTCATAGTGTAAATTGCTATACTATGATGGGGGTCTGAGGGCGAAGTCGTACTGCTGCTAGCTGGATGGGGTGTGACAGCAGTAAGGTGTTTCCCTTGGATGACCAGCAGTGCCAAGCTGATGCTGCCTTCTCAGTGGAAGGGGGGGTTAGAAAAGGTCGGCCCCAAAAATAACACACTCCACCACGCCCCACGGTCTGCCGGGCCGGCGGTGTTGGTTCACTTGTCGTTTCCTTTCGCTCATCCGGCCCCAAAAATACAAAAATTCAAAATAATCATACTCAAAAGGCTGGGTGTGACAGGCCTCAAGCAGATGTCCGATGGGCTCTGCGGTCACACAAATCTCTTTCAGGTACCTTAAGAAGAAATAGCCTTCCACGGTGTGGGCAGCCGGGAAGTGTCAACCGCCCTCACAACTCTGTCAGCACCCAAGTTTCTTCTGACTGCTATCCTCCTCCTCCATCATTACCTTCTAATCTTCCTTCACGTCTCTTAATTAATGATGCTGCATCATCTTCAATTTCTCCTACCTCTGCAGCCTTCGACAACGATCTGAGTCCACAGAACAGTGTCCCTGGTCTCCTTAAACCACGCTCCAAATTACATATTGGAGCCTTCAATGTCCGCACCCTCCGTCAAATTGGCCAACAGGCTTCGTTGGCAAAGACTCTAGCAACTCGAGGCATGGATGTGTGCTGTGTTTGTGAGACACGCATACAGGACCCAAGTGTGGTTATTCACCTGACCTCTCCTGACCAATCTGGTGAATCTGCAAAATTCACCCTTCGAGTTTCTGGAGATTCGATAGCTAGCTCTCGTGGTCTTGCAGGTGTAGGTATAGCATTAAGCACCAGGGCAGAAAACTCACTACTAGACTGGATCCCAGTTGATAGTCGCCTCTGCGCTATGAGGCTGAACGGCACAGTGAGAACTAAAAGGAATAGTGAGACTCGCCGTTGTCTCTTTGTAATCTCTGCTTACGCACCCACTGACTGTAGTTCGGATGAAGTGAAGGACGAGTTCTACCATAAACTGTCTAACCTCCTCTCGAAAGCCAAACGTTCGGACGTAGTGGTTGTTGCAGGTGACCTCAACGCACAGGTGGGTAGACTGAGTGAGGCAGAAAGGCACTTAGGTGGCACTTTCGGAATCCCAGCTGAACGTACAGATAACGGTGATCGCCTATTACAACTATGCTCAGATAACCGCCTATTTTTAGCCAGCACAAATTTCAGACATAAAGAAAGGCACTGTCTGACCTGGCGTCCACCGAGCTCGACTCAGCGATGGACACAGATAGACCACATTGCTATTAGTCATCGCTGGAGAGGATCGGTGGAAGACTGCCGCTCCTTCTGGAGTACGTGTTTGGACAGCGATCATGCGTTGGTCCGAGCACGTATATGCCTGCGTCTCAATGGACGTAGAAAAAATTTGGCAACAAAACCACTACGAGTTCTGCTGGACAACGAAAACACCAAAGCCGTGTTCAGTGAGAAGTTGGCTAGGCAGTTATCGGAACAAAAGACTGTCACTCATCCAGAAGAAGCTTGGTGCCATCTTCAGTCTACTGTAAAAGCAGCACTGGAGACTGTAGCCGACTCCAAGATAATGGCTAAAAAGAGCCAGTGGATATCAGCAGCTTCTTCCAAACTAATGGATGCACGTGAATGCATCCCTGCAGGCTCTGAGTACAATGAAGAGCGAGCGCAACTTAAAAATAAACTGACGAAAAGTCTGCGCAACGATCGTGAACAGTGGTGGGCAGCAAAGGCTAAAGAGATGGAAAAGGCAGCGGCGATCGGTAACAGTAGACAGTTATTTAGACTTATTAAGGAGACTGGGGGGAAATGGTCAACAACAGTTAGTGAGGTTATAGCGGAGAAGGACGGATCGGCGATTCACTCGCAGGGAAGGCGACTGGGACGATGGGCAGAACACTTTGAGGAACAGTTTAACTGGCCTCCAGCCACCATTGCGCTGCCCGCTATCCAGTCGGACCCTGAATGGGACATAGAGACAGGTCCCCCAACACTAGAAGAAGTTGAGAAAGCGGTAGGTAGCCTGAAACGGGGAAGGGCAGCAGGACCAGACGGACTACCTGCTGAGGTATACAAGAATGGTGGTAGAGTTCTCTTAGTCAGGCTAACGGAAGTGTTAGCCAGTATATGGGAATCAAATACGATCCCCTCCGACTGGTCTAAGTCACTGATCATCCCAGTCTTCAAGAAAGGCGAGAAGTCCTCTTGTGATAACCACAGAGGAATCAGCCTGACAAACATAGTGTCTAAGATCCTAAGTTCTATAATTCTCCGACGCCTGAGTGGAGCTCGGGAACAGCAAGCCCGAGAAAACCAGGCAGGCTTTAGACCTGGCCGTGGATGTATCGACCAAATATTCACACTGCGCCAGGTCCTGGAACATAGGCATGCTTACAGACGCCCGACAATAGCTGTATTTCTCGACCTGAAGGCGGCATTTGACTCCGTTGATCGAGAAGTCTTATGGCAGTGTCTGTCACTGAAAGGCGTGCCTAGTAAGTACATCACCTTATTGAAAGCTCTCTACTCGAACACTTGTGGGCATGTTAGAGCCTATGGTGAGTTGTCCAGGGAGCTATACTCATCAAGTGGTGTCCGTCAAGGATGCCCACTATCCCCATTCTTATTTAATTTTATCATAGATATTCTTATGGAGGTTTCCCTCTCGTCACCTAATTACAAAGACGTTGACCGGATCACAGGTGAATTTTCCTTAGATCTAGAATATGCAGATGACATAGTCCTGTTAGGTGAAGACGCTGACAAGATGCAGAGTCTTCTGAACACTTTGAGTGGGAATTTGAGAATGTTTGGGATGCGATTTTCACCACCCAAATGCAAATTTTTGCTCCAGGACTGGTCTTCAGCGGTACCGCGGTTAACAATAGAGAGTGAAGTGGTTGAGTGTGTTGACCACTTCACTTACCTGGGAAGTAGGATCAACTCCGGTGGGTTAGTTGCCGATGAGATTTCTGCACGGATACAAAAGGCTCGATTGGCTTTTGCCAATTTGCGCCACCTATGGCGCCGCCGTGATATTCGTTTGTCTATTAAGGGTCGCGTGTACTGCACAGCAGTCCGCTCTGTTCTACTGTATGGCTGTGAAACATGGCCATTGAAAGTGGAAGACATGAGAAGGTTACAGGTATTTGACCACCGTTGCCTTCGTAGTATAGGACGTATTCCGTGGTGTCACCATGTGAGTAATGCAGAAGTTAGGTGTAGAGTTTTAGGGAGAAGAGGTAAGTCAGTCGACGAGGTTGTGAACCTTCATCGACTGAGATGGTTGGGACACGTACTACGTATGCCTAGTCACCGATTGCCTCGTCACACAATGTTGGCTGAGGTGGGTTCAGGCTGGAAAAAGGCCCGAGGTGGCCAGACTAAAACATGGCACCAATGTATGAAGTCTCTGACTGTTGGTTTAAGCCATGTAGGACGATGCAGACTAGGTGGTTGGGGTCCACGGGACAAGAGGAACCAGTGGTTGGAGACCCTAGGTGATATGGCTCAGAACCGAAGTCAGTGGCGCAGATGTATACACACATTATCCTCATCTTAACAACGCTATACCGAATCTCACTATTTTGTCACTCCTCTTTCCTTTCTTCTCATACTTTATATTTCTTTTGACTGCATTCACTTATCTTCATCCTTCACCTCACTACCTTTTTACTTGATGTGCTGATATGAGGTGTGGCAACTCGGACCGTTACGCAGTAATGCCTGGTCCTATGTTGATA